ACACACACACACACACACACACACACACACACACACACACACACACACTTTTACATAGCTTTAAATAACATCACTCAAGTAAAGACAACTCCTCGCAGTTGCACTGAAATAAAACTTGTTAATGTAAAGCAACATGTAGAGCTCCTCAGTCATCCTCACAGCCTGTGGACCACTAGACCCTTCAATCAACAGCTTAAACATACTGTGAAACATATTTTTGCAAATGACATATTTCCTGATATCGTTCTAGAGCCCTGTCCTGGTTTCATTTGGGGATTGTATGTTATCTAAACAGGGACAATAGAGGTGCATGGAATCTAGTTTGCAGAGCTTGTTGCATTGAAAATTAAACAATGACATTTAAATATTTAGCAAAACCAATTTGTCTTTCCAGATCCAACGTCTTAGTGTCTATTGATAGCCCACAGACCTCTATTGTTTTCACTAGAGGCAGACGAATGTTTCAAAATGTGTGCAAATAAAGCCAAAGTGATCTGTGTGCACAGGTAACAGCACAGGCAGGTGAGGAAATCTATCTTTTGCAACCTGCCTCCATCCTGTCAGAGCTCACATGTCAAACTGGTGTCATTACGTAAAGTTTGATAGAAGCTTGAATGGTAGGCTCAGAGGACAGATAACCGCAGTGCTTTTAATATGCATGAAAACACAATGAAAATACAGCAGACTGTAACTTGTCCACTGAGCCTGGAGTGACACGCTGTGGACAGACGAGTAACAAACAACGCTTCAAAAATGTTTGCTGGTTTTTAAAGGCCAATCAATTAGAACATTTTCACTATTTTCAATGAAAAATGCAAAGACAGCGTGAATTATAGGCTTTAAAGAGAAGTTCAAATCGAGTTCATCATGACAAAGAGAAACATGAAAAAGTGCTGATGAGCGTCCCACTCTGAACAGCCCGACTGCTGAGTAACTGCAAACACACGGCTACACTGGTCTTACTTCATTATTTCCAACACCAACATTGTTCTGCTGTTACACGTTCACATGTTTTCACATCATCCTTCTCAGAACATGAAACAAATATTCTCACATTATTACAGATTTCTATCAGACATGGAGCTGAAAGCTAGTCTAAGTTTAGGAGACAGACAGCCTCTACTTTAAAGATCAGCCTTCAATCGCTCTGATGAAGCCTGGAATTTGGCTGGGTCAGCTATCCTGCTATGGCCTCAGGCTGCAGGCCGACTGCCTCCATGCACTGAGCGTCTCCTCTTCACTCACCTGTTTTCACTCATGCATTTCTATAGTTCACCTCTCTGTCCTCTCCTTACTGACCCTGCATCTGTAGGAGGACACTTCCTGTTGAAAGGGACTTCTTTCCTCGCAGTTGTCAGCGGGCTCATAGAGGATCATGTGATCGTATTACAAAGAGCCTTGAGATGATTGTTATCATGAGGTGCAGTTTAAATACAATGAAAAAAATGTTTGTTTTAAAGCACAGCTTTCCACTCCACATGCTTCATGTCCCGCGCCTGCAGCATGCTACAGCGTGCCCATAACCAGCTCATGTTCTATAAAACCTCGCCTGGTTTAATATCACAAGAGTGACCACAACATCTGTAAAGTACATAACAATAATCATAAATGCAGTCACAGTTTTTTTATATCTATAGCTGCACGACTATAGTCAAGACAATTAATCATTATTAGGATTAAACATATCACTGCTTTCACATTCATGTGGTGCTGCCAGTGTACAAACCTTTGCATTATATAAAGACACAGAGCGCCTCTAAGAAGAAAGATGACCACACACACACACACACACACACACACACACACACGCACATCCTAATTGTAATAAAATCACTGTCCTCCTCTTTACACTGTGCCACATGCTTGTTAATTAAAACTTCTTTGCAGACAGGTAAGTTGTTTATTCACCTTGATTGACTCTCCAATAAATGAGAAGCTACAACAGGGATGTCCAAAGTCCAGCCCAGGGGCCAATCATGGCCCTAGGTCAGATTTTTTATGGCCCGCCGCCACAAACAGAATTAATAAAGTGTACTTTCTCTGTCCACCTTATGTTGTCAGCACCATGAGATGCGATGCATGAAAGCTTTATACACACGTCAGTAAGTGTCGTTTAAAATGAGGCTGAGATACTGATGTTTCAGGTCCACACGGTTTGATCTTTGTGTTACTCTGTGAATGAAAAGTCGTTTTATTCTGTTAAGGCTTGAATGAACCTGATCTCCATAATTCTTGTGTTATTGAAAATAAGGTGTGAAAAACACCTCTGAGCTGCACACAATCTGCAGCAAACAAATAAACCATCTTTAACTCCATTCATTAGACCTGCAGGACGGATGTGACTAAAACCTGAAGCAAATAACTCGACGTCAGTGAGAAGTGCTCACAGCGGGTCGTTTGGTGGACGGAGTTTCTCTCTGTAGGATCGTTACCTTGCAGCTTGATGTATCTTGAGGCTGCCGCTGTGATTTGGTGCTATAGAAATTGAATTGAACTGAATTTACATGCAGTGCAGGTTTTGTCACTTTGGAAAAATAACTACATGAGGGGATAACGCCTCCTCTGCCTGGTAAGTTGTCCTCGTTCCATCCAGGTCGTGGTTTTCTAAGGAGGTCAGGAAGAAAGGGACTGCACTTCACCTCTCAGCCCAACAGCTTCTTCACTTCTAGTCAGTCAGCTGATTACTTTCCGAGCTCATTAGACTCTAATGGATACGATGCACCGGCTCACTGTTGTGGATGTCTGATTGAGTGCTGGGCAACAAGGATTAGTAACTTTTTTTTTTTGTGGTGTGTTTTCAGACTACGTCCAAAAACAGATGATGTTGAGTCTCTTTGAGGATCAAGGTCCTTGTTATGTATCTATCTAACCTGGTTACTCATTCAGAGGATTCCAGGTAACTTCCAGCTCCATGGTGCAGCTAACAATCTCATTAACTCTGTGTATGAATCATTCAAACACAAAAAGTCTCTAACTGAAGGTATGAACCAGTGTTGTGTCGACACATAACAGCAGTAAATAAGTAAGCAAACAAAAACTGTATAGAGCCAAGAAGAAGAATGAAACTCACGGTCTTGGCCCTCAAAGCTGGACCATTGCAGCTGGGTCCTGATAACACTTACAAAAGAATCAATGTCAGATTGTACCTGTTCTACTGTGTTACAAGGAGCCTGTTGGAAAAACACTGCATTTGTTCCCATTTCTTTCACTGACTACAAAAAACGTCAAAGAAACAGGAAACAGGGAGAAAACGCTGAAGTACGCCAAATTACACAGATTTTGATCCACCGTGAGACACGTGAAAGACGGGAACAGCTTCATTTTTCACAATGACAGTAATCAGTCACACATTGGTCTCCCCAATGCACCACGTGCCCCGCTACAGTACTGCACAGCTACAGTACTACACAGCTACAGTACTGCACAGCTACAGTACTGCACAGCTACAGTACTACACAGCTACAGTACAGTACTACACAGCTACAGTACTGCACAGCTACAGTACT